GCGCCGTCCTTCCCGGGGTATTTATTCACACGCATATATACAGTGGTGGGAAATGCTTTCTGTGGTCTGAAAGAATGCTCTGAAAGGGTCAATTTGAGAAACGCCTTTAAAGATTGTCCCCTCTGTGCGTCTGTGTCTGTGCATTTTCGTTTCAGCAGCTTTGTGTCTGTGTAACAGAGTCTGCGGACTCTCCATTGCACTTTTCTAGTTTGAATTTTGTTCTGGCTCCTCTTACTTTACTCTCTCACCTATAAAAATGGGATTTCTAATGGAAATAAGCAATAGATTGCTGCAAATGCTCAGGTATAACGGATTTTCAAAAGCAGGGCAGCTGGCAGCACACCGCTGTCCTTCTGCCTTGGACTTTTAGCGATAGACAATATATTGATTAAACCAAAAATAGGGAAGTGCAATGGAATGAGGGTGTTTGCTGACCTTGTTCTGGTGACAGAAAAGTAATTATTTCAGGGTGAGACTGTGCCTTGAGCTTCTACAGGGACCTCTTGTCCTGGGCATAGGATCAAAGGAGTTTTTTTTCTCCAGTAAGGATTGCAAGATAGGTAGTAGTTGCCATTTGAAAATGAGGTACAATCCAAAGGAAACTAGGAAAATTTCAATTAAAAGAAGCAAATTCATAATGCATAGATTGGTTGAATGTGCACAATTGTAAATATAGACAATAATTTACAGGCTTTTCTCTTGAAATCTTAGTGCTGCTATGAGGAGACAAGAGTGTGACTTACTTATAATGACTTACCATAACATTTCCATACTGTAAATGAGACAGATTAAGTTGACATTATATATTACCTAGTTGTGTACCAATTAGCTAAACAAATGCTATGAATTCCGTCATTTATGATGGAAGCTACATAAAAATTGTATAATTACTGCAGTGAGTCATCTAGTCAAATGGCACTCCTATATGGACGAATTGATTTCAATGCAAGATTAATAGCCTTTTGCTGCTGCTTTACGTGCTTGCCAAAGACCATACTACGTTGTCGCTAAAGCATCATTAATGGATTAAAATAAGGGTTCTGCATAATTCCTACGGTGTATCTTCAAAGAGCTCGTTTAGTTTGTGCACTAGCCTAGCGCTTGTTAGCCCTACGTAACACACGGGTCTGGAAGGCTGCCACGTGTGAGGGAGGTTAATGCAATCCTAGGAACTCTTTCAAAAGCTCACAGGTTTTCTTGTGGATGACTTCGCGGAGTTTCCGCACGCGCCTGATGCTGGAGGTCCCCACAAAGCTGTCTGGCTGTAGGACAGCCATGCCGTTGTGGACATCTCCCATGATGATGAGCTGGCCATCCACTGTGGTCATGTTGGGACACGGGCAGCTCCAGTCCATGTTCAAAAGCGTGATCTCCAGCGGTTCCTTCCCTAGGAACTTTAATCCCATTTTTTCATCTTTGAGGATCTCCTCCACTGTCACCAGGGCATGTCCCGAGTCTTGGTCTTCGGTCAGCTCTGTTATACGGCCCAGGATAACGAAGTCGCTTTTGCAGAAGCTCGTCACCAGCTTCTGGCGGGGTTTGCAGGCTTTGCAGTGCGTGTTCTTTGGGAAGGGACACATCTCTTCGCAGGCCTCCCGGCTCTCAAAGTTGTTCTCGTTGCCTCCACACCCGCCATAAATGAAGGACTGGCACTGCTTTGTCAAGCTGTTATAGGCCCATCTGGGCTCATAGGCTTTGCAGTGACCTTGGAGGGCTGGCAGGTTGCAGATGTTGATTGGGCCGTTCATGCAGGTTAACATACAGTTCTCGTAGGTCTCAAAGTGGTTGAGGTTGCTGTTACAGTTCCCGTAGATGAAAGTAAAGCAGTTGTTTTTCTTTGCATCATAGTACCACCTGGTCTGCTCTTCCCCACAGTCTTCGCTGTCTGGCTGCTTCAGGCACTCATCGGTTGGAAAATGTGTTTTGTTTTGGGAAGCTTCTTTGGATGTGGGTTCTCCTTTGATGACTGACAAAGGGAAGTCAGCCCTGAGAAGGCCACCGCTGTTTTTGGCAGTGCAGGTGTAGATGCCCGCGTCTTGGAGCTGGGTATTGTAGATGACCAGTTGGGCGATGTTGGTGACCACGACGTTCCCTCTGACGTGATTTGGCTTCATAATGACTTTGTCTTTCCCATCGACCTGCTTCTCCCATGTGATTTCTGGCTTGGGTCTCCCTGTAACATCACAGAGGAAGCTGACGGTCTCTCCCACATAGACTGACTGATGGACAGGGTTATTCACCAGAGCAGGCGGCAAGATATCAATCACCGTTGTCTCGGAATAGGCAGTAGTAGGGCGAGCTGTTGTCTCTGGTGGGATAGGGCTGGTGTTTGGCCAGGTAAGATGGTACCTGCAGGTGACTACATTGAGTGTAATGCCTTTGATGCAAGCTTCTGCATCCATGTAGCACTTGTTGTAGTAGGTGAGCCCGTCGGAGGCACAGGTGAAGCTAGGCTCCTTCTCACATCTGTCCTTGCACTTGCAGACGGGTTGCCCATCCCAGATGTCACACTCTGAGCCTTGCTGGATGCACATGAAGCGGTCACAGGTTGCCTCTTTGGGCATTCCCACCGGCCCTTTTTTCCCCTTGACGTCCATGTACCGAGCTGCCACGCAACTCTTGGTTCCACAGACATTAGGGCAGCACTTCTCAAAGGTCTCGCACTCCTGCAGGGAAAGAAAATGAACCGCTCATTACTGAGGACAGAGTAAAGTCCTTTTTAGAGACCCAGCAAGCAGAGAGCCCAGAAACTTTCAAGGTGTTAGTTCAGGGGACCCTGTCTGCCACAGATGTCTGTGGTCCAGAACTCGGTGTCCCCACTGGCAATGAGCAGGAACATCCCTCCAGCATCTTCCGAGAGGTGTCTAAACCCTCTCGAGTTTCTGAAGTGCTTCAGGAGAAGACTCAAGAAGGAAAACATATTTCTGTTTCTTAAACACTAACCTCATCATAAATCTTTCCTAGAGTCACATGGACTTCTCAACTACCGAACCAACAACCCCCCTTCTGCACTCTCCGAAATGCCTGAGGACAAGCCCTGAGAAACACGAGCGGATGGAAAGTCTTATCATATGGCTGTGGGCAGTAATCCTTCTTATTCTCCACACAAGTATGTAAAGTATTATTTGAATTCCCTGAGACTAACAGCCTGCTCTTGGAGGTGAAACTGCCAAGGATTTGTAATTGTTCACATTGTAGAGGAAATAATAGAATATCTCAAAAGTAAGGAAATTCTTGCTCCAAAAATAATTTTTCTATGGTATTTAGAAAAACAAACACAAAACAGCTCATTATGGCTTCTCTGTCCTATTTTAGTCCTATTTTCAAATGCAGCATCACTCTTCTAGTGATTTATTACACCCCGGCTCAGCTACAGTCAGCTCTAAATTGTGGTTAATTTTAGCAGAATTTTCATCTTCCGTGCAGAAAAGGTATTTGCTATGTGTGATCACAGCTGCTGTGTTGTTATGGATTGCTTTAAGGGACCATGAACACCGCTACCATGTACACACCGGGGCACACTTCCACCGTGTGTCAAACCCCTGCAACCCCCCCGAAACCCAACGGCTTTCTCCGTAAGTGAGAACAAAGTGTTTTTCAAGTTCCCAAACTAAATAGCTTCCCCTGAGTCCAGTATCCTTTCCTTATTGGGAAAAAGATGACCTAATAACATAACTCTTTCCCCATTTCCAGCGGCACATTACTAGGTTTCAGAAGCAAAGTTAGAAACCAGAACGGGGGACGCTTTCGGCTGAGGCTGAGGAGCAAGGGCTTCAGCAAGGCTGGAGGCAGAGCCCTTGGCTGCTGGTGGACCACTCGCTCCCTGCGAGGTCCCAGAGCTCTTTCTCTGCTGCCACAAGGCAAAAGCCAGTATTTTTAGCCAGTGGCTTCTGGCTTTCAGGTTTTTTGGCCAGTAAATTATTAAAATGACGTCCTCTGCTGCTGCTGGGGTTTTGCAAGTGGTTTAATATTCATTGCTGCACCTGGTAGTTGAAATAAAGGGGGCTTATTTGGGAATGGTGAGAGTACAAACAGCACCTTCATTCATAACACATGGGATCCATCTGAGCAAATCTCTTTGTTTACTCGATGGCTAGTCTTTTTCTCTATTTTTCCCCCCCACGCACTCCTTTTAGCACTGCAGAAACAACATAAACCCGATGACTTTTTTCCTGCCTGGTGCACGTTGCTGTCAGCCTGGTTTGGGCTGCAGGAGCTTTGCTGTTGGACGTGATGTCAGAGGCAGGACGAGCAGGTATTTTCAGATGCCAGCTTGAGCTGGCAGTGCTGACAGGTTGAAAAATGAATTTTAGGGTTGTAAGCTGAGCACATTCTGAGCTGGGAGCATCACAGAGAACATCTGCCTGGTCATTTTAATCATACCCCTGTTTTGCACTCTGAGCACGCTTTGTGTTTCAAGTGCAGCAAAGGCTGATGCTTTACACGTTAAATCAAATGATTTCATACATGATTCCCCTGGGAATATAAAGCATCAGTGATGGTCACCACCACCAAAGAACACAACGACGCCGCTAAAATACTATGGATTGGCCCCAAGGCATGCTGAGTTCTGGAGGATCAAATTCAGACGTTTCTTTTGACAAGAAAGCAAAGAAAATGATCAAACAGAGCGAGCGCTGTACCCGCATCGGCGTAAGTGACAGCTGCCACGCACCTCCCTGCTGAACTGATAACTCATCAAACCTTTCCCATTTCACACAGGTCACGGGTCAATTAAATACGTGTGCTGTGTGCGCCGAGCCCTTTCCATCCGCCACGGGAGCGGGCTGGGGTGCACACAAACCCACCGAGAAGCCCCCTCGCCCGCCACGCGGAGAGATGATAAAAATGCGCATCACTCACCAGATCGGCTTCGCACTCCCTCTTGCAAGTGCTCTGGGCGTCTACCCACAGGTTGGGGTTCATGTCATTGGGGCATATCCCCGCGTGGGAGTACCGGATGGGAGGTAGGGCTCTCCCTTTCAGGGAGACCTCCAGAAGCAAGAGGACACTGCTCTTCCCCAGCAAGATCCACATCCACCGAGTGAACAGCACCAACAACATCTCAGAACTTCTCCAGGGCAATGGCAGTGACCGAGCTGGAGGTAGTTCTTGTTTTCCTCGGGGTTGCCTTTTTTTTTTTTTTTTTTTTTTTTTTTTTTTTTTTTTTTTTTTGGTAAGCCTTAAATTCTCGAGGAACCCAAATGCACCTGACTTCTGTTAAAACTTCAGCAAGCTCCTTTGCTGCCTCTGCTGATAGTGCGATTTGGTCTGGACCTCATTGGATTAAAGGTCCTAGGAAGTTACCCCCTTATTTTAAGAGAAATGCTAATAGTCTGAGCAGAGTTAGCTCTATTTATACCCTGCCTCTGTTAACAAGTCAGAAAAAGTAAACTTGATTTCTTTGACAGGCACACGCTTCCTATGTCCTGGTGGCAGTCAGACAGATTTGTTGCAAGAAAAAAAAGCTGGAAAGAGTTTAAAAGGCTGGAACTGGCACGGTGGGACCCCTGCATGTTTCTGAATGCAGGGAGGCCTTCTTAACCCCTTTAGACCTAAAGTACTTCCCTATGCTAAGAATGGCATTTACTTCTGAAAGAGTACTTGTCTAAATAGCACGGACCCGTGGTCAGGGGATTTCCCCATGGCAAGGGGCTACACAATCACTTGCTAAAAGGAACAAGTAATAGGATTGAAGCAATTAAAGCTAGAATATCATATTTTAACAAAGGAAGTAGGGAAGAAATAACTTATTTAAAACTAGGATCGACAAAGCAGTATGTCTTCATAAATTCTCCCAGGGTCCCTCCGGGCTTTTTTCTTCTCTTTTGGTGGGGAGAATTCCAGGATGCTGGGTTTAATGCTGCCTTCCAACCCCACCAGCAAGATGTTAAAAGTGTCCTTGAATTCCTCCACATTTCCTGACGGCCAGATCCCATTGTACAGTGCATTGCTGACCCCTTTAACAGCCACAACAAAAAAATAGTAGAAGTTCAACTCTATGGAAACCTGCATAAAGGAATGTACAGCATTTTTGCATTGGGGGGCGGGGGGGAAATTCAGTCAAGCTGAGTTCCTCGTTCCCTGATTATTACAGCGAGGAGCTGATCCTGCTCATGCTGAACACGTGCCAAAATCCAGAGACGAGTGGCAGAAGTTGGAGTTGCTCAGCACCTTCCAGGATTAGAGCCTTTGGGCTGAGCTGGGATGGATCCTGCACGGTGCTGAGAGCCTTCTGGGAGGACCAGGTAGGACCAGTTTGCATCCCACGTGGGGCTGGGCAGGGCTGGACCAGGCGCTGTGCTTTGGGAGGAGGGATGGCTGAGAATCTGCCCGGTGCTGGGCAAAGCCAACAGACCCCAGTGCAATCAACCCTTGCTTTAGTGAAGTTTTCCATTGGGTTTATTAAACAAGGTTTGTTTTTTGAGGCTGATTTTGGGCCGAATTCTCCTCTGAGTGATGATGGCCGCCGACCAGTACAACCAGCAGTGAACTGGGCCACCATACCTCAAGCCATGGGGCTCCTGCTACTCCTCTGGGGCAAGGCAGTGGGGCACAGTGACCTGCTGGTGGTTCCCAAGGATCATCTCCAAAAGGAAGGGAGAGCATCCTGGAGCCCATCTGCCCTCAGCTGTGGCAATTCTGTGGCAACCCAGGCTTATAAAAGAGGCTCTAGCAGCTTTGATTTGTGTGACCGCATTAACGATATGCACAGTATTTGAATTTCATATGACATGCAGAGAGAAGTTGTCCAAATTAGCTATTTATAAGGAGCGAAGTCAACCGCCAGGCAGCAGTTTGCAGTTGATTTATTCTCTCTGAAACTTTAGAAACCTGCATGACACTTGTACAAAGTGCGGCTGTGCGCAAAATGTTTTATTCAATACTTGTTTACAAAGACAAACGCAGCACCCTGTGATGCCTAAAAAAGCCAACCAAAAATGACACATTCCCAAGAGGTACTTAAAATTCTTACAGCTCTATTAACAACAAAATCACATGTATTAGTGGTTCTGTTGACTAAACAAAGACACTTTATATTGTAAAACTGACTACAGATAAGCTTTGAGACCAGCTGTATGTGGGGCTCAAAGAGCGCGGGTGTCCCGGGCGCTGGAGGAGATGCTGTGATGGGTGTGGGGGGTCTCACCCCAACAGCTGCAGTACGAGCAGGGAATTTGCCCTCAGTCCATGGGCTTCCCACCATGAAGCCATGGATAAATCATATTTCCCTACCATCCTGAGACTTTTGGGGCTGTTTTACCCCCTTGGTCCATGGTGCTCTTGCAGCCTCCATCTCCTCTCCTGGCACCAGAAAGTCACCTCCTTGCATGCTTTGGCCATGCTGAGTGAGAGACACACCAGCGTGGGCCCAACCCAGGTGGGATTCCCTTCCAAGGAGGAAGGACTAACACTATCTTGGTCTTTTCTCCCTCCCAGACCAAGGATCCCCTTTGCCCAGAGGCACATTTCGGCTGCGGAGGAGCAGAGTGGGGGCTCTGATCAATCAGACACTGGTTTGCATCAGACAGATGGAGCAGTCTTCTGCTTTGCTATGTCCTTCTCCGTCCAGAGGGATATTCTCCTGGGACAGGTAAGTCCGACCACAGCTTTCTGCTTTCAGCACCCAGATACCATGTTCAGTGCATGATGGCCAGGATGGTGGAGCTCGAGGGACAACAGGTTAATGAGCCTGGGGGAAGGAGTGGTTGCACAGGGCATGAAACTCAGCTGATTTAATTGTGTCCCTATTGCAGGTCAGTGGGGTCGCTCAAGGAAAGGCCATTTGAATGGCTGGATTTGATGTATTGTCACCCCAAACGTCAGGTCAGCACGTGGCACAGCAGAGAGGGGCAGGGACATCCCACAGGAGCTTGGGAAAAAGGACAAAAGCAATTATCATTAGTGACAGCGATAGTTTTGTTGGGTCACATGAGGCACAGGAAACTTGTGTTAACTGAGGAATCATGCCCTCAGCAAAACTTCGGCATAGGACGTCTCTTAGGGAATCAAATCCTGGCCTAATCCAATGGAAACTGGGCAGACGCTCTGACTCCCATGGCTCCAGGAACAGGGAGTGCTCAGCCCCGTGAAGGATCAGTCCCTTGGCCACTCGAAGGCAGCCAGGAGAGAGAGGAAAACAGCGCCATAAATATCCCCCTGAATGCAGGCAGGCAGCTCCTGAGGTCAGAGGAGGCAGTGAGGACTCTGAGTAACCCTCGAGAGCTGCCCTGTCCCTGCCAGGACATCCCAGACTTGCTGTTACCCAACCGTAGGAGCCCATCCAGGAGAGGACATCCCTAAGCAGGCTGCCCTGGGTTGGCTCAGGGACAGCACGGACCCTGGTTGTCCCAACATGGATAGGCAGGCTCTGCCTAGAGCACTCAATATCTCCTGGGTTTCACCGAGGGCTGTTTTCTCACCTGGTTTAAATTAGTTTAACTCCACTGACCTCAGTGGATCTGACTGGGTACTCCAGAACACCACCAGCCAGCACCAGCTGTGGATGGGGGTCTTTGTGAAGGACCCTGGATATAGCATTCTCTGTTCTTTCTTGTTTATAGAGCTTCGTGGATTTTTTGTCTTTAATATAAGACATAAAATAATCCATATTCTCCATTTCTGTGAACAAATCGCAGAGGGACAAACCTGAGCCCTGATGGCACGAAGCCACATCCTGGCTCTGCTCCCAGCAGTGGGGACACACGGCCTCCGACCAGCCTGTGCTCCACAGATGTCCATCCATCTCCACCACAGTCCTGAAGAGCCCTCTGAGGCTGCCCAGGGTCCTGGTTAGGGCTGTTGATCCAGAATTGGTTTAACCATTGCTGTTGTCATTAGTGATGATTTCTTTGCCCTTTTTCTTACTCTTTCCAAGCTCCTACGGGCTGTCCCTTCTCTTCTCTGCTCTGCTGAGTGTGAACCCCCTTCTAATCGAGGAGGGAAATGTGATTGATGTGCAGGAAAGTCTAATGGTGTTGGTGGTTTTTTTTCTTAAACCACTGCCAAAGGAACAGCAAGCTGCTGGTTGCATTTATCAGGCGAAAGGAGCAGTCCTCATCTGGAGTTACTCAGTGGCCGGCGGGTGGATTTGTTGGTGTTCCTGGGGAAGGGCTCTTGGCAGGAGCCCTCACCCCACAACATGAAACCTCCCATGGCCTGTTGATCTCTGCCTCGGCCAAGGGGCCCTTCCCGATGCGGCCTCTCGTGCTGCCTGGGCCGGCTGCCACTCGCGGCTGGTTTTGCCAGCACCGGCACAAGCCACCCCCTCTCCAGGCTCTGATTCATCGCTGCCGGGTGGTGGCTTCCTCACTGTGGCATCCAGAGCCCTGAGGTGAGGGCTCACGACCGGAGCGGGCATTTGGCTGTGATGGGGGTGTGATGGGTGCCCGTGGCACCCACCGCCAGGAGAGGCAAGGCCAGGGGCTGCAGGTTGGACCTCCCTATCTCTGCTGGAGCTCTTCTGCCTTCGAGCTCAGTGTAAAGTCCTTGAAGCCTCCCTGCTCCTCTATGTAGGCAGCTGGGCACAGCAGGACTGGTATGAGCTCCAGGCATGGCCAGCCCCTTCCTCCAAACAGGGCTCCGAGACCTGCCCTGCCCACAGGGACCCTGACTGTGCCCCAGGGACACGCTCTCCTTCTGCCCCACCGCCACCATCCACACTCCTTAGAGGGCTCCTTCTCCATGCACAGATGAAAACATAGTGCCTGAACAGAAAAACAGCTTTTAAAATGACCCATCTCATTTGGAAGGTAGCGATGCTCAGGTCTGTAAGTAAAGCTTATTGCACTTAAAGCCGACAGCCAGACGTTTAAGGGGGAACATAGTTGCCAGATCCCTTTTGGAGCTCAGCTCCCAACCGCTTGCCTCCAGCAGTGAGGCTGCTTCCAGACCCACACAGAAACCCAGCCCGTGCCTCGACCTCAGATTTAGCTTGCCTTGGGCTGCGAAGGGCCAAACCTCCCCCCTCGAGCAATGGCCCGCTCCCAGGAGCCCCGGCAGGACCCGCGCAGGGGATGGCTGGGAAGCCCAGCCTGGTGCTTTCCCACCTCTGTGAGAAGAGTGGGTGACTCACATTGGCCATGGGGCCAGCCAAGGGAGCTGGATTTTGGTGGGATGCACCTCCAAATGTCAAACTAACGGTATGTTGGACACATCCTCTGGAGGCACACTCGTACAAGCAGGGGCAGATTTGGGCTGAAGGTCTTACGACCTTATGAGGAGATGCTGAGGGACTTGGGTCTTTTTAGTCTGGAGAAGAGAAGGCTGAGGGGGAATCTGATCAATGCTTATAAATACTTAAAGGGTGGGTGTTAGGTGGATGGGGCTGGACTATTTTCAGTGGTGCCCAGGGATAGGACACGAGGAAATGGGCACAAACTTCAATATAAGAAGTTCCACCTAAACATGAGGAGGAACTTCTTCACTTTGAGGGTGGCAGAGCCCTGGAAGAGGCTGCCCAGGGAGCTGGTGGGGTCTCCTTCTCTGGAGACATTCACACCCACCTGGACACGTTCCTCTGTGACCTGCTCTGAGTGGACCTGCTTTGGCAGGGCGGTTGGACTAGATGATCTCCAGAGATCCCTTCCAACCCCATGTGATTCTGTGTGTGCGATGACGACGACGTGCCCGTGTCCTATTTTGGGGGCTGTTCGTATGCACAGTTGGCAGGGGAAACATATTCCAGTTCCCCCCCCTCTCAGGATTTTCACCGGGGTTCCCTGGAAGGGCCTGTAACTGACATGTGCAGGGTTTGACTTTTTGCAGCAGCCCATCTGAGCAGGTACTGGTCTGCACAGAGGGGCTCGGGGGGCCGGGGGCACAGTCGGAGCAGCGATGGTTCACCGAAACGAGCGGTGGTTTGTGTGTGTTCCACCTCACGTGCAGATGCTCAGTAAGCAGAAGTTAATGTAGTTCGACAAAAGGGCTCGGTTTGGGGGGGAAAAAAAATCAATAATGTCAGGGAGTTTATTACAGGGTTATGGGCCACCTGCTATAGCTCAGCACCAGGCCTGCCACGCGTTGGGTTTCGGCGAGAGCTGATGGCATTGCACTCAGACAAGGCCAGCGCCGGAATTATTATTTTATGCCTCGGCAGATGGCTTCTGCTCGGGGGTTTTATCTTTGAGTGCAGACATACGACTAATCATCATTTGCTTTCTCTTTCTCTGCTAACGTAAGCCGGGCAGGAAGCAATTGCCAGTTTGATGATGGTTCATTATTGCTAGGTTTATTCTGTCTGAAACAGCACAGCAAGAGGCAAAGAGGGTACAAAGGAAGACAATCAACCAGTTATCAGTGAGATATGGGGAAAAGCTGGGCTCAGAGCCTTGTCTTTCACTGGTCCATCTCTTTCTCTCTCTCTCTTTCAGAAGCAAAGCCCTAGATATCCCATAGATAATTTGGGGAGGCCATGGAGTTGGTACCTTTGGATTGTCGAGATTGCAAAGGTCAAATGTTGGGAATGAGTTCATCCTGCCTTAGAGCAGGAGGGTCTAAGTCCCCTCCCAAAGTCTCTTCCAGCTTTGGAGTCAGGGAAATGGGAGATCCGCAGCCTGGAAAGCCAAGAAACAGGACTCACAGCCATAGTGGCATCACTGCTCATCCCACACCTTTCCTGTTGGGCACTCACCTGGTGTGGAGGCTGGACAAGGGCACTGTCACCTCCTGAGCATGGGGAAACCCCTACTCCACCAACGCACAGGTATGGCACTTTTCTTCTTAGGCCCTCTCAGTCGTCTACTCGCGAGGTGTGGAGGGTGGACAAGGGCACTGTCACCTCCTGGACGAGGGGAAACCCCTACCACAGAGGCACGGGTACAGCAGGTAGGCGTGAGCACCTCGTTCTGTTGCAGGTTTCCATAGCTCCTGGGTAGTTCCGTGGCTGCCTTCAGGAACAGCACTTTAGGAAAACTCTGCCACCCAATCCATGGGGTGCAAATGGAGACCTTCCCGTGTCTTGCAGCTCTGCTGGGGCTGTACAAGCCGTAGCATGAAAACCTCAGAGCTGACCTGGTACATTGGTTGTGATTGTGATTTTCAGTTTTTCTGCTTGGATACAGCTCCATTTGAATGAAAGCTCAGAACAAAAGCGAGGTGTGGGGCTGGCGTCTGCTCGGGCTGAGTCCTCAGCACGTCTTTCACCAAAGCCAGTGATGTTTCTCCAGGAACGTGGGTTAATTTAGTTCCACATGTAGGAGGCTAATGAATATTATTAAACCCATCGCACAGATTCACTTCAGTCTGCAAATGACCCTAATTTAACCTCCCTTATTTACTTTTAGGAATTTAAAGCTGGGAGGAAATCACTTGCTGGGTATCACACAGCAGCAGCCATGAAAGGCTGGACTCCCGAGACCCTGCTTCCAACCCCATGGGCACCATTTGCTTGGCAAAAAGCTAGTTCAATATAGAAATGTCACGTTGCTTTTGTTTGTGATGTGATTCAACTTATGTAAACAGTAAGGTTTTAACCTGCTGTGCTAATTGGATTTAACCCCCTCCTCCCCCAGCTGTCATCTCTTTTCCTTGAAAACCCAGGGTTTCTCCTGGTTTGTACTGTAAACCTTAATTCCCCATGACTTCAGGATGAAGGTACCATCTCACCATCACTCTGAGCCGACCCTTTTAGAAAGTTTATGAACCTTTCAGTGGCTGAGGTCTGAGCTGAGAGTTTGTGAGATTTGCCTGGGTCTGTGCTTCGTTCTGAGACTTTACCAAACCACTGAATCTGTCGACGATTGGAAGCCCTCCTTGTGGCTGGGAGCCTCTCCAGGAGATGCAGAGCAGCTCCCAGCGACTGGGCTTTTCATCAGGCAACAAGCGTTGGCTTCTCCAGACAACCTGGAAGTCCCAAAGCTCCTCCGAGGGTTTGGTATCCAAAACTTCGCTATAAACAATAATTAATTTTCACAAAATGGAACTATTTCCATTTCTGCAAATATCATGAAATCCTTTTAGCGTCAATTCTGTCTTCTTGGAATTTAAATCTAAATTAGGACAAAATTCTTTTTAGCTGAAGAGTTATTGCCTTCGTTTGGCTTTGCTGGTTGTTCGGGGCCCTGGCTGTCGCACAGCCTGTCCTCTAACCATGCTCCAAGGGTCACCTCTGCCAGGAGCAGTCCCCTACCAGGTAAGTTGGGTGTATTAAGGCTTTCCAAGAGGGGAATTCTTTCATTTTGGTTTGCCCTCTGTACTGTTTTACCACCAGATGCATGACACCATATGGGCTGCATTGCTTGAACCCAGACGATGGCCATCAGAGCGTTAGTAAATCCCTGCTGGGCCACTGGGGCCATTACGTGAAGTGCCCAAAGGAGACTAAATCCAGATGTGGTGTGACCAGGGTGCTCCTCTCCCCGCACTCATTCAGCAGCAGAGCCGAAGACGGGCTAGAGGTGCAAGAGATGTCTACAGAGCAGTGATGAGCTCCTTCCCTTGATCTTTAGAGTAGCGACTCAATCCTGCCTGCCCTGGCGACGCGATGTTTGTCTGCGCTGGATGGCTTTTTTCCTCATTGTTGCTCTTTCTGATTTCAGCTACTTCAACGTACACTTTTGTTTTGCTCTTTCATTGTTTGCAGCGTGAAGAGTCCACCTGCAGCCTGCATCGTGGCAGGGATCACTGAGATGCAGTTTTGAAGAGAACCGGTCCCTGATTGCCTGAGGTGATGGTGGCCGGCAGAGCGATTGTAAGGTAATGTTTAAGAGATTCACGTGGTTTAATCGTTATAATTTCCCTGTGCCTCCGGGGCCTGCACACTGGGCTCGTTGCGTTAGCTCACCAATTGCTGGGATTGTGTTTTAATGACAGAGGCAGCAGGCTGCCTTTGAGCAGGGAGGTACAAAGGAACCGGAGCATCGTTAGGGGCGAGCGTTTCAAACGCGCTGGGTAATGGCCTGATTTCTCCCCGATTGAAGTCGACGGTAAATATTCTGCTGACTTCAAAGGGGAGCGGGGTGAGGTTCCGGCCAAACACTCTTGGAAATCCCACCCAGCGCTTGATTTTTCCTTGACCTGAAGGCCAGTTCAGTCAGCTCTGCTTCCACAAAGGAGCTTTCAGGAGTCCTGTAAAAGCCGCCGGAGTGATTTCAGCCCTGGGTTCACATGGCAGCAGCATGTGAACTGCGGTAAATCTGGAGGACCGTTTAGCCCTCCCAGGTTCTGATTTCTCTTCTGCAGATGCCTGGCTGGCATCGCTCTCGCTCTTCCCTCATTGACTGTGGGGAAGTTTAGGGCAATGGGATTCCTAATGAGGTCCTTCGGCTTGGTGGGGTGAACTCCTGCAGTGGGACAGGAGGATTTGGGGTGCCCTCACAAAACCTTTGGCTTTGCTGTGCGTCAGCCATGAGAACAAGGTGGGCTGTGCACCTGGAAAATCTTTACATCATCTCTGCAACCCATGGCGTGAGCTGTGACTTTGTCTCTTCCCATCGCAGAGAAAATGGTCTTGAATTCATTTTTTGTGTTTCCTCTCTTGTAACTTTACAGATATTTCTTTTGTGTTTCTATCACACTGCAGTTACAAAGCTCTGCAAGCCAGAAAATCAGATATTTCCATACATTTCCATAAACTAATTTCCTTCTAAAATCAATTGGATTTGTCAATATGGAATCGTTACCCACACAGGACCCATTCCTATCTCTGCCACTGGCTTATTCTGTGAGCCTGGACCACTTGCTCCCTCGGTGCCACAGCTTCCACCTCTCTGAAGGGGAGCACAAAGCTCACAAGTGGGTCAAGTGACATCAGTTTGTCTTTTAAGTCCCTCCTTCTTGCCGTTGCCGCAGAAGTGATGTATGAGTGTGAGGGTGTGATTTGCTGCAACCCCAAAACCGCCTGAAAAAAATGATGAATGCAAAAATTATATCTACCGCCATTTGTTTGTATGTCTTAAGCTGCAGCTTAAGCACAACCCTTTCTAGCTCACACACACACAACCTTTTTTTTTTTTTTTTTTTTTT